CACCAGGTTCCTCCACTACAATAACACACCCTTTAGCCTAAAAACCATTGTCTCTTCCCCTCCTGGGCATCCTGCTTGTGGGCACTGACTACCCCGTTAGTGCCCAGTGGGGACATCCATCTCCCAAGCAGCATCACAAGACAACTGCTACACTGGAGGTGGGCACATTACAGCAATTCCTCAATATTTGGAGACTCCTACTCAGCCTCTTCACATCAGGGTGAATGGAAGGCAAGGCTGCAGCTTCACCTTCAAACTGACTTGCTCCTGCAGCTGCCACAAGGACCTGCTGACAGCAGAGCAGTCCCCAACAGAAATCTCAGCACCCTGTGCTCACCAGCAGAAAGGCAGCAAAGGGCAGAGGAGGACCTCAGCAGGTTTGGAGCATGTTCTGCCCCCACAGCTGCATTCCCACAGCCTTACTTATACCAGCTGGGTGGCTCTATATACCTGTGATGAGGTATATAAACCCACTGAAGTCAGCAGAGTGAATAAAAGGTATATGGGTTCAATAAACCTGTGTAGGTGCTCCAATTCAGGGGCAAAGCAAGCCAAGGGGTAAGACTGAGCAGAGGAGTAGGCAGATGCTTTCACTTGAGCCCAGTGAAGCATGTCCCGAGGACACTGTCCTGCTCTCTCACACGCATGTGTGTGCTACAGGCACAGCTTCACCTTCCCCTTGGAAAATGAGGGTCCTCAAACAAGCCCAAGGGATGAGAGCCTGACATCTTTTTATACGCTGAACAGTGTAAGTAGCTGATCTGTTTGTGGCTGCTTAAAAAGCTCCCAAGTAGGGAACAGAAAGAGCATCAAAATCAAGCTCCTGCTTTTAGAAACACACTAAAAATACACTCTGCTAGAGGAGATGGCAAAACAGCTAAACCACCTGCTAGGAAAATAATACTGAATTGCTAAAGTGCGTAAATACAAACATACATGATTTAGAAACTCTAATTTGGAAAAAGATAGTTGGGATGGGCCAACTTTTCAGAAGAATCATTAACACTCCAGAGATGGCAGACATTGGTTTTGCTGCCTGACTTCTCCTTTTTACCCCCCTGCTAACTTTACCCTCTGATAACTTCACATGGATGGCAGGGAATAAGTCAAGGATCTATTCGTCCCTGCTCTTTCCTGCAACTTCTTTAGGACACAATACTTTCATTCCAATATAAGGATATGAAACAGCAGCCCAAGACCTGGTGCTGGGGACTCACGGAGTTACTGGCAACTAACCTGCAGGTAGTGCTCTGGGCCAGACACCTCCTCAGCAGTTTCTTGTCTGCAGGATCTAGGAAGGAAACCTTGCTTCTTGCTCACCTGGTCTTTCAACACATACAGCTCCCTTCCCTGTACAATCCATTCCTCTCCATACTACTGCAGCTTCCTCTTTGAAAGTACTTAGAAGATGACACTAAAGTTTTTCTAATGCCCTGCTCTCAGCATGAAGTGAGAGCTGGCTGCTACCTAAAGGACACAAACCTCAGGGAGCTCAGCTGTAGGGCTGAGCTTTATAAATGGTGCCCCTGGGCCCAGGTGGGGCTGGTCAGGGCTCTTAAGGATCATTTAGTGCCCCAGCGTCCAGCACCTGCTATTCCACACATAGCAAAGCCTTTGCTCTGTGGTGCTGATACACGTCTCTGGGTGCCAAGTACTCAGCCTTTCCTTCAGCTTGCCTTGCACCTTGTAGCTCTCAACACAACAAAACCTGAGCTATGACTTGTGTTTCACTGCTGTTGACTCAGAGTTCCCAGATTTACAGCAGCCAGACAAATTACTGAGTGTGTAGTATGTGCTCCTGCTGCTCTCAATTCACAAAGTGAGCGGAAATTAAGGACTGGACTCTTGTGCCACGTGTTTGGTAGTTGGCAGGTGTTCCTGCCTTTGAACTTGATAGTTCAATATACAGCACCTTGTTTGGGTCCTGATTGTACAAGACACTGAATACCTGCCAAACGAGATCAGAGCTTAAGTTAGATATAAAGTTACTTAAAATACTATCTACATATTGCAAGAGCTCTGAAAATGAACAATACTACATACCTGGCTCACTGAAAAATACTCCAGGATAGATTCACTGTGCAAGCTGCTACAGTTCCAAGCCGAACCAATTAAGGCGAAGAAAGAATTCTTCTAACTTAAGTGCCCTTCACCTCCATCTTTTCACATATCTTTACAAGAACTAGAAATTAAAGATATGCTTGCTACTTCTAGGCTTACATCTTGCACAGACTGGAATTCAATTAACATTTTTCTGCAACAAAACTTGGAGAAGCACTTCAGAGCTGCTGCTCACAATGCAGAAGCGACTGAACAAATGATACTCTCATTAACGCTCTGCCTTTCCCTGCTGTGCAAGCCAAATCCTTGAACACTAAAAGCACCTCAGCATCAGCTGGGTTCACAGACATCCAGAGCAATTTTTCAAGCTCCCTGACTTTTATAGACCAAGGGGGAAGGGATTTGGTGTTCTTTAATCCATTCTATTATATGAACTCAGAAATGGTTTTCACTCTCTAGCACAATAAATTAAGCTGGCTGCAGTTATTCTATTCCTGATTATGCTGAAAGTTACTGGCAATAATTTGATGACTATATTTTCTTGCCCTTTTTAAAAAAATTCTTTTCCCAATTAACCTGCAAATTTAGTTTCCCTGGTAATAAGTAAGTAATGCAATAAAGCTGGAGTTGGTGGCCAACACATTCACATCCGGATGCCTGAAATTGTTGATGAACACAGTAAAACTCCTGTACTTCGTAGGTGGAATTTACTGTATTCACTTCCCAGCCCTTTGGACTGAAAGAACATGTTGTATGAGTAAATCACCATTTTTTGCACTCCTCTATGTTTTCTTTAGAAGACTAATCACTTTTTAGACATAAGTGTGGTGCTGATAACACCAAGGTCACGGGTTCGATCCCCGTTCGGTCCCCATGTGTTGCCTGATCTAGTTGAGAGGCGTCCCTGCCCATAACAGGGAGGTTGGATTAGATGATCTCTAAGGTCCCTTCCAGCCTAGGCCATTCTATGATTCCATGATTCTATGATTCTATGATTCTATGATTCTGTGATAAGTGAATTCACCTTTGCAAGTCATTAGACAAACACTATCACACTGATTTTGCAGACTGGAAAACTCAGGCCAAGAATCATTTAGGGATGGAGCTTCTTACCCTAAAAACATTCCGATCAGTGCAACGCAAGCTACCATTTTCATCTAAAGATGAAAAAAGAACCTGTTTTATTAGTATATTCATAAAAATATAAGTAATTACAGAATATATTCCATCTGATTGGCTCCCCCTCCTTTGCTCTGACCCCTGTAACACCTTGTCTCCTAAATCCTGATAAGAAACAGAAAGACGTACACAGACTTGACTTACCTTTTGGTAAGTTAGGAGGTACGCTATACAGTTCACAGTGTAATAAAGAAGTTGCTTCTCTACAGAGTGATGGTGTTCTGGGAGCCTAATTGTGCCCCTCTCATTCATGTGAATTAATAAATGTGACTTTGATGATTTATTTCAGTACAAATTACTTCCCAGTATCAATAAGCATAGCAGAGCCCAGCTCCAGGCTGGATATTCAGGACGTGAACAAATACAGTCTTTTAAAAGCTTCTGTAAAACCTACTTGGGATCCCATCACACTAAAATGTCCATGTCAGTTATTCTCAATTATTCTAACTATAAGGACATGTCAGGTACATGTCAGACAGAATGACTGCCCTAAAATGATAACTTTACCATAATGCACTTGACAGTGAAAAAGCAATAATAGCTATTTTGGGAACAAAAGAAAAATACAATGGATCTGATGACTAAGTGTTCTGTTCCCCAATGTAAAAGTGAAGTAGATCCCTGTCGTATTTAACTTGATTCCTTTGAATTAAATACTTCCAATAAAAGTTTCCCACAGTAGCTTTAATATTTAATTATGTATTCCACCAAAGGAAAGAACAAAATCTTTGCAAAGGGTTTTTTTTTTTTTGTGCATGTGAAATATTTATCAGCATATCTCTTTGGACAAGTATTTTTATCCCCCAGGCTGGGAAAAAGCTTCCATGTACAAATCAGTTTCAAAACACTTTATTTTACAGCTTGAAAGTTTTCTATACTTTAGCACCTCATGCCGTGACTTTGTTATTTCACTTGTTAATGAATGGTAATTAAATCTCTTTTGGCTGAAAAGGTTGGAGGGCTCCTGCTGTATTACAAAAACAATTTCGGAAAGTTACAAAAATGCCCAAGTGTCTAGAAATTAAAGTTTGCCATGTTTTGAGTCCAAGTTTGAATCGCTTGGAAGGATTTATGTGGAGAACAGCATGTCCCAGTCAGTGTGTACAGTCTCCCCAGTCGAACAGACATAATTGTGCCACTTTGTGTCTAGCAGAGCAAACAGAATCACATTTTTAATAACTTAACTGGTGGCCACAAACTTCCTTGATCTTACTAACAACTGTAGCAAACATTGCATAAGCCCTGTTATATAGTACCTGCACAAAGAACTGCTACATGTGTACATCTAAGTGAAGACTTGTTAATTTTGCATTTTCTCAGTAGGGATTGAAACATCAGCCTATTAATTTTCCTTCTTTTCTGTTTTCTCATTTCTTTCAGATGCTTTGAGTCAGAAGATAAATGGAGTCAGTGCTTACAACAGAGTTAGATAAAGGTGAAATAACTACATATTAAGGCATCACCGTGGTGTTACAGTGCTAAAAAGAGGCACAGCATTGAAGAAGAAATATCTGCATGGTCTCCACTACTCAGTTACACCAGGGCAGGTTTCTGCTGGCATCATATGGGCAGATTTGATCCACAGGTTGTAAACCAAAACAATGTTAATTTTACTATAAAATGCCTTTTCATGAAGGAAATACAGTGATTTCAGAGGGAAAGTTCATTATTAATTTCTTTTAAAATTACAGTTTCTCAAACAACCCAGCCCAAGCAGACTTGAGCAAGAAAGTGGGAATGCAAACGTGATGAGTACATTCCTAAGCCGTAATTTTGGGAAGAGGTGTGCTGAGAGCAAAGCCCCCTCCAGTGAAGCGAGGAACGTCAGACTTCTGGTGTGGAATCTCAGGCTCGATGACAGTCGAGAATCGCTCCTTCTTCCTTTAAATAGAAGAAAAGAAAAGGAAAATACATATTGCATTCTGCAGCCCAGTGATGTTTACAAACTCAGGAAATCTGTCTCCTCCAAAGTTTCTTTGATGCAACCACGTATCAAGAGATCATTAAAAAAATGTTGATTAAAGCCTATTAGGCTAAACTGCCAAGACTAGGTGTCTAATTACAAGCCTACTGATGGGTTTTGGAATTATTAAAAATTACAAATAAATGAGCTCTCTTCATGCTACTCCCCAAAATGGTCAGAGGACCTCATTAGAGCAAGTTTGTACATAAGCCCCATGCTTCAGATTTCTAATCACTGTCCCATTCTAGCAAGAATATGCCTGTTTTCAAACAAACAGCTACATTCATCAAAGGGAGAGGGTTTCTGTTGAATTTTAATGAATAAATAGTGCTATCTGTCTTCACAGGGCGGTATTTCAAACTCACTGTGGTATACCTGGAGGTTTCAGAGAAAGGTCCTGAGACATTTAAAATTAACCATGTGGAACTTTATGAAGGACTAGTTTATCATAACAGCAGAAGTCTCCAGGCCTTACGAATGTCCTAGGTTTAGCTAAAACCCCCAGTTCTGTTCAGTGATTTTTACTTTCCAGTTTAGTCTCTTCTAAAAGGCTGCACTTTCTGAAGTCAGCAGCATGTTTTTGCACACAGTGCCTGCTACTGGCAGTGATAACACCTGATGTTCACAGTTGCTGCCTGGGACTGGGATGCAGAAAGGCTCTTGCTGATATTTATTCCTATAATGACCAAGGCCACTGCTGGCTCTTGTGTGCCATGCTGGGGTCACAAGGAAGTAAAAGGTTGCACCTCCAGGGAGTAATAGACAGAACAGGTGACCACCAAGAGTATTCCATTCCATACCCATCATATTTAGTACAAATTGAGTGATCATGAGAGTTTCTGTCCCTTTTCCTCCTTTTTCTGCAATGACTGGTGTCCAGGGAGGACTCCATCTGATCTCCTGCTTTTGATCCAGATCCTGAGTTCTCAAATCCAGCTCCCTTTATCCAGCATTAAAGGTGTTCTAGTTTTCCTTTCCTAGCCTGTAAGTCTCTTTGCCACATTCCCTTTTCCTTCCTGTTTAGGGGGAAAGAGGGGGTTAGAAAGCATCCATCTGCGTTTAGTGGCCAGCCAAGCCCTAACCCATGACAATGAAGAGGGTCCGTACCATTTTAGGATCACTGAGACTGAGACACAAATGTGAGTCCAGCCACGTTTTTGCAAAATCTAGCCTTGTCACCTTAGTACCCTTTCTCTGTCCCCAGTAAGTGAAAATAAGACACTTCCTGGAATTAATACTTTTCTTTTTGCCCCTAAATGACTGTTTCAGGAATGGAGGAAGTTCACAGAAACTCAGTAGGATGACTAGTTATGCTCCCTTTTCCAAATTTTACCCATATGGAGATGGGAGAATAGGCAAAAGATGGCACAGATGAACTTAACCATGAAAGCTATTTGTGACTGGCTTTAGTTGTACCAATGTAGCACTAACGGGTGTGCCAGCTGACAGCACTGAAAACTAACATGTTATTTTTAGATGGCTCATCCTATTTCACTATTGGGCTTCCAACTTTGGGGAGAGAAAATGATCCAAAGTCCATGCTCATCCTTTCTTCATGCTCCCATGGAGATAGCCAACAGCTGTGCTCATCAGTATAGAAAATCTGATGCAGCTGAATACTGTTAATATATTATGCAGAATTAATGTGCAAGCAGCCATGTGCAAAAGCTCCCAGTTACTACTAACATCCCCCAGTGCAGTTATTTACATATATAGGACTGCAGGATCAGGTCTCTGGTGTGGATTTAAACTACATATTTTCTTACCAATCCTTATCAAGATCAAACTGGAATCCTGGTGCTAGGAGCAACTAGAAAAAGCAGTGAAGCAGAAAAGGTGAAAGAAGCAGGAAAGAATGGGAAGAGCGAAGAAAAGAAAGCCTCAGACATCTGGGAAAAACAATATTCAGAATCAGAGAACAAGAAAAAGAGGATTTCAAATTCACAACCAAAATCTTAAACACTGGATTTTCAGCCTGAACACATTGTCACTCATTATATTCCTTCAGCATCCCATGGAAAGATGCATTAGTTCAGTATCAAGACTCTAAATCACAAGCCAGAACTGTCTTGTGCAAATCAATAAAAGCTTTAGATGATACCTTTGTGTGAGGTTATCTGAGAGTATTAATCCTCTTTCATACCAGGGTAGTCAATAAAGCTATTAATGCTATTGTCCTGACAAGATCCTCTTTTTATTAGCAAAACCAACCACGTTTATTTTAGACATGTTGTTAACATTAGCCAGCACGATAGAGATCAAGTGAGTGGTTTCATGTCAGCTGGGATTTGGAACAATCTGAGACTGTATGAGTCAAATGGCCCTGGATCTTTAGCCAGCATCTACACACGAGGCAGTGCCTGTCCAGCCCAGTCCAAGGCAGGAATGTCAGGGGCTAACGACTCCTCAGGGAAGGACCTGGCTGCACAACAGGCTCTCTCTGTTGTAGGAAGCATAAGACACGTCACACACAACTGGCAGCTTGGAGAAGGAAGGCTGCACAAGGTTGTCTCCTTTGCGCTGCTGCTGGGCAACACAAAGAGCAGTTTAAAGGTTATAGAAGCTGCAGTTACCCAGGAGTAATATGCCCAGTTACTCCTTGGGGTGTGTATACCCTTCAAAGCTGGAGGTAGTCCAAAAGGTTTGACTAGGGAACAAAACAATGAGGGACAGCAGACAGCAAAGCCCAGCACCTGGACCTCTCGACTGCCACAAAGACAAGAGAAGTACACGTCAGGGCTGACAGCAGAGTGCTGCCAATAGCTTCCAAGCCTGAGGCGGGAGCAATGAGATGCTATCATCCTGCAGAAGCGCCACAAACAACATCTGAAGGTACTGCCAAAACACGGGTGTCACAAAGGCACCATACTCATCAGACTACAGCCACGCCTGCACACAAGAACAACCACCTGACAAGCTGCACTAATGGCAGATATCTACTCTGTGCAAGTGACCTGCAACACAAAATTGCTCTCACTGAGTATGATTAACAGACACAAGTTCAGTCACCACCACCTCACACCAGTATTTTTGTTTTACTTTAAAGCAGTTATGCCCCTAAGAAGTTGGGGGGTTTCAGTAGTTATGGCAGGTATTAATTCTAGGTATGATATAACAACAAAACAAGGGTGACTTTCTTCTCATCTGATGAACAGAAAGAAACATCATGGCAGGGTCCAAAATGGACCCAAAATGGACCCTGCCATCATTAAAACGATTGTGAGGAGAATACTTGGCTGTGGGAAATGGATTATCAGGCATTACAGTAGCCTCACACATTGATCCTAAAGCTCCAGGAAGGCCATTAGCGCTGCACAATTGCTGCTAATTCCAAACATTAAGGTAACATTATGCAATTTGCAGATGGACATAAGTCACTGTTTATCACTGGCTATTTTGCTAATTCAGTCATTGAAACTGTTGGCTGGCTGAACTATGATTAAGGAAGAAACAGATACAGGCAGCTTCAAACTATATTCAGCAATGTACAGAATTGTTGGCTTTAGTATATCAGGAAGGGACAGACTGAGGATGGAAAGGGGTGGAAAAAAGGCATACACGTAAGAACAGAGGTGAGGCTGGCCGGTCTGTAGTTCCCTGGATTTTCTTTGCTTCCTTTTTTTTTTTTAAATGGGGCTTATGTTTCCCCTTTTCCAATCTGTGGGAACCTCACCAGACTGCTGTGACTTCACAAATACGATGGCTAGAGGTCCAGCAACTTCAGCTGCCAGTTCTTCCAGGACCTGTGGATGTATTTCATCAGGTCCCACAGACTTGTGCACCTTCAGGTTCTCCAGAGTTTCCCAGACCTGATCTGCTCCTGCTCTGGGTGGTTCTTCATTCTCCCAGCCAATGCCCTCTGTGACATTGAATGGAGTGGCTCAAGTAGTTACCAGTGAAGACTGAAGCAAAAAAGTCATTGAGTACTTCAGCCTTCTCTATGTCCTCAGTAACCAGGTCGCCTGTATCCCTCTGGAAAGGCCCCACATTCTCTCCCATTTTTCTTTTTTCTCTCACATATCTGAAGAATCCCTTTCTGTTATTTCTAATGTCCCCAGCCAGATTTGACCCCGTCAGGGCCTTAGCTTTCCTAACCTAGTTTCTGATTTCCTGAGTAACTTCCTTATAATCGTCCCAGGTTACCAGCCCTTGCTTCCACGCTTTGTGTATTCCCCTTTTGTATTTGATTTTGGCCAGAAGCTCCTTGTTCATCCATATAGGCTTCCTGACATTTTTTCCTGATTTCCTCCTTTTGGGGGAAGCCTCTGAGCTTGGAGGAGATGATCCTTGATGGAGGCAAACATTTTAGTAGGGCCTGTTGTGATAGGACAAGGGGCAATAGTTTCAAACTAACAGAGGGTAGATTTAGACTGGGTATAAAAAAGAAATTTTTTCAATGAGGTTGGTGAAACATTGGCACCGGTTGCCCAGAGAGGTGGTGGAGGCCCCATCCCTGGAGACATTCAAGGTCAGGCTGGACATGGCTCTGAGCAACCTGATCTAAAGATGTCCCTTCTCACTGCAGGCGGGGTTGGACTAGGTGACCTTTAAAGTTGCCTTCCAAGCCAAACCATTCTATGATTGTATGATTTAACATGAGAGAGCAGACGCTGATCTGTGTCCTCTGGGCACCATCTCATTGGTATGAATAATTTAACTGGACTGCAGAACATGTCAACAACATCTCTGCTGGAGGTGCTTGTCCTGGCCATAGATCATGGTAAATCTAGACCAGATTAAAGTAACATGAAGGACAACATTCAGGAAAACAAGGCAACAATATTATATCACCTCAGTCAAATTTGGCCATGTTCTGATCAAAAGGGAAAAGTAGGGTCTAAAAAAACTCTAGTTTATGCAGAACGCTGTGTAGACAAAACTGTTATTTTCCCATACTTGGCCTGTTGTTCCTTGCGTTTCTGAGCCAGATATTTCATTTTCACATTCAGAAGCTCATTGGTAAGTTTTTCAATTTCTTGTTTGTATCCTTGGCTCTGTGACTCATACATATTCAATTCTGAGGACAAAACCTAACAAATAAAAGGCAAAAAGCAGAAAGAGGAGATGTTAGTTTCACTTAGAAGTAAATTTATACTTTTACAAGCACTTTTTCCTTTCCTATTTGACAATATGAGACATCACCATTTTCTACCACATCTCATTTTCTATCATGATGTTTCATTTGATCACTTCTGGTCACCTAAGGTCAATTTACAAAATCAAGGCTATGCCACTTAACCACAATAAGACATGTAAAGATATGCTCCAAGCATTATGGGAATGTTATCGATATGTACATTGGCTCTTAAAAGCTCTGTGACACAAGTCTGGGTGAAAACGTAAATTTAAGGTCTTAAAAAATAATAAAGCAGGGATATATTTAATAATAATGGGTTTTATTCACAGAGATCCACTTTGTTACGTGAAGTAATTCAATCCACACAGGCAAAGTAGAACCAGGCTGCATAAACATTAATACAACGCCACTTTCATATGAATCAGTAAACTTTAAAGAAAGCAGGAGCATATATAGAGTGTTTTCTTTCCTTAAGAAGAAGAAAAGCTTGACCTGGCACCACAAAGTGGCACACACACCAGCGTGTTGTGTCTGAAACACATAGTAGCAATTGACTGCATTAAGAACAAATAGGAACCGTATGGAAAACTTCAAATCACATTCAGTTTAGCTAAACTTTGGCTTCTATTTTACATTTTCTACATTGTTTTTCTTCTCCATGGAAAGCTAAGATTTGCATAACAGCCTCTTTGTTTCCTAAGGGCCCATCTGCTCCTGCATTTATTTCCTCATGGTTAGTATAGACGTGATTATGATGCAGTGAACAGGAGATGACGACTTCAACAAAGAGAAGAGCTGTAGAAATAGATGAACTCCTGGGGAGACTGATCCTTCATGCAGGAAAGAACAAGGGGAGATCTGCTTATTCTATCAAAGAATCACTTTTTAACATCACACTTTCAAAGTTTCCCACAAAATTCCTTCCAAATCAGGAAATCCTCCCTCCTAGTGACAAAGAGTTAGGGCAGGTTCCTCCTGTCATCCCTATAAAAGCTACTAGTCTAATATATGTGTGCATATTGCAAGAGAAACAACAAGAATTTAAGACTGGATTCTCAATATATTACCACTAGTTTGTTAAAAAAAACCCACAAAATGGCTCTGACTTCCTTATTGAAGATCTTACAGTTCAAGAAAAGGGAAGGAGAATAAGCTTAATGGAAAACTGGTAGTGTCCCAGAAAGCACACCCACAAAAAGCATTTACAGCATCATGATGCACTCTTATATTCTAATAAGACTTTTCCACTGTTTTAATGACACAAACCAGTATAATGTGACAAAAAAGTTCCTCTGCTGCTATTGGTTCTTCCTCGGGGAGATGCAGTAGTAAACTCATTTTCCTGAGCTAATATACTAAGGCATGCACACTGTTCACTGAAAATCTTAAAGCCTCGCTCCCCAGGTGAGGTCCTTCTAGCCTCTCAGACAGAGGGCATCTCTTACTTTCAGCTGTTTAGTTTGCTCGCGGAGAGTCTGTCGGTAGAGCTGCAACTGTTCCGCCGCTTCAGGTCCAGGCTGCCGGGCCAAGACATGCTTCAATTCCACGTACAGTTTCTCCTTTTCCTAAGAAAAAGACAAGAAGAAGAGCTTTTATAAACCTACTATACCAGCAGCACAACCTGTGATGAAATCAATCTCACCGAAAAATGCAACTCAGTCAGGAAGATATTTGCAGAAACAAATCTGCCTGTGTGTCAGTCTTTCCTCACTAGCCATAAGGTATTTAAAGTTGTTGTGATAGCAGTTGGAGAGCTCATTAAGAGAAACATCCAGCTACTTCAGCCACAGATGAAATACTCTTAAACACTGTCATCACTGAACACGCTCTACCACAGAGAATATAAAAGTCACTTGAAGAGTATCCAAGGGTAGGAAATTAATTACTGGGAACTGTGCTTATTGCAACGTTTCTTCTTATGAGCCACACTGCCTTACATTAAGGGTCATAGCTTCACCCAATAGGATGTGAACAGGCTACAGATACGTCAGAGAAGTGTACAAAAGAAGAACGTCTTCTTCCCAAAAAATCCTGCAAAGCACATCTAAACTCACACATACACACATATAAAACCTTTCAATTTAACTACAGAAGCCCTGTGAAAGGAAGCATAAACAGCAACAGCTATGACCAGTACAAACGCCACCAAGTAATTTTTCATTGTCATGTGTCATGTTGGAATATACAGTATAAGTGTGAGAACTGGACGTAGCCATGCCAGAACAGACACCACTCACAGCTTTCTGTACCAAAATTCTTTCAACTGTGTTTTGAGGATGTACTTGTTCTTAGTCTGAGGAACAAAGATCTGAACAAAACCACCTTCATAGGTTTGCACATTATGATATTTTTAGTATCTAACCTGTCAGACTAAGTTTATTATTATTCATCATTATTTAGCAAGGTTCCATCCTTGTCTGGTACCTGGAGAGCTAGAATTAAAAAGGACGGTTATTTGACTGAAAGTTGGAGGAGAAGACAAAAGATTTAACTGAAGAAGACAAAAATGCCAAGTAGGAGGCAGGATGGGTGATTACCCTCACCTTGACAAAACCCCTTTTTGTTATCTTTTTTATAAGCTCTGGCTACCACTTTCACCACAGAATTCTTCCATCTGTGTGGGAAATGGTGTCATCACAGCACCTAGCATTTATACATTTGGCCTTGCTCAGTGGTTGAACCAGGATTTTCAAAAAGTGGTTTGTTATTTTGAAGATGCAAAATTCTAGGTGTCCAAGCTTCAAGCGCATAAGAAGTCTGGAGATTTTAGATCTCAGCATTTTCTGAAAATCATGCACTATAATGGTCACAAGCTGGGTCCAAAAAACAGAACCACTTCAAATCAGAAATTACTTTTGCAAGCATTGCCCTTAAACTCTAAATATTACTGAGGAAGTGTTCCTTATAAATGAAGTTGTTCACAGTTTATTTCCAGAAAAATCAAAACCTCCTGAGATTCAGACTAAAGTTTGCATAGTGGCAAATATTAAAATCTCAGTAGAGAGTTGTTAGTGTCACTACAAGTGGTTTCAGCTACTGTGGATACACTTTACAGTTAGCTGTACCGGCAGCACTGCATTGCAGAATTAAGACTTTCGTCCTTGAGCTCTCTTCTAAACAAGTACATAACCCTTGCTTGCTAATTATGAAAAGAGACCCTGACCAGCTGAGTACAGCTCATCTTGGGAGTTTGTCCGTGAGAATGAAAGATAAGACGCTTCTTGTACACAAGATGTGCATGAGAGTGAATGGGAGAGTAGGATCAAAACAGACCTGGGAGAGTCTGTTCTCCCTGTGTGATAAGAGAGTGATTGAAGGAGCACAGGAGCTAATAACAACCCTGGCTGCATAGTCTGGTCTCTTGTTCGTAACCCACAAATAGTGCTTCTTGCTAAGAAGTGTAAATATGTGTGCCTGCTTGCAATAAAGCAAATTCCGTTTTCCACCACCTCGGAGTTCGTGCGTGCTTCTCCACAAACTACCACCTTTTCCTTCTGAGGAAGCAAGATTTTACTGCAAGTTAAAAACAACAGCAAAAGAAAAATCTGCTATGTCAAAATCTGGCTGGTCAGTATTAACATTCTGCCCCTGAATGTATCACAGATTTGTATTTTGGAAGAGTGTAACGGTAATTTGGATAAATATGGAGCAGCTGATGGATTGAAGGTCTTACATGCAATTGTTTTCCAATTTATTTCTCTCCTAACCCTCTGCAAGGGCCAACCAAGCTCTTCAAACATTGTGCAATGGTGTGTATAATAACCCCATTTAGAGACAAGGCATGCAATTCTGTTATAAGGAGAATCTATCTTATGCAACAGAGACTCGTTAGCTCTCCGATGTATATTGTCTCCATAATACAACAGAGGCAGAACCAGCTGTCTTATAACGCGTATCCTGTCCTTCCTTGCTAAGCGCTGTCCATCTCTTTTACATCTAGGCAGTTAATTTGTCACTGGGTTAGAAGCATAATATGTCAGTGAAACGTTAAAAGAAAAACCTGGGTACTTCTTTACTCATCAGCAGAAGTTTGTATTCACAGGTTGGCATTTCTATAATTTCTGACATTTCACCACAGGATGAAAAAAAAAGATTTAAAAAAATCAGTTCCCTTCAAAGAGTTTTAAAACAGCAACAGAGTAAATCTAAGTCAGTTACACGGTACAGGTGTTCCCACCACCAAAATGCATTACATACAGCAAGTATTTCTATCTCTACACATAAAAAATCACGACTACTTAGGAAAAAAAGAAAAGTACAAATTAATAAAGAAAATTTTGGCTTCTACAATACTTTAGCTATGTTCAAGGGACAGACAAGCTGTGCAATGTGTTATTACATGTGGATATCTTATAAGTAGTCAGCTATCGGATACAGCACAGAGCATGTAGAAAGACCTGTAGGGTTTTCTGATGTGTGAGCTGTATTCAAAGTAGCTTTCAGTTGTAGTACATAAATTAATACCTCCAGAAGATGAATATATGTTGTGGGTTTTTTGTTTCGGAAACAAGTAAAATGTATATTCTTGCCTTAAAATGTTTGAGAACCCAGTGGGGACAGATAGAGAGAAGGTATCCTGACACTGACAAGGAAATCATGTCAGCAATGATTATCAGTGGCGCAGCAGTAATTCAAAACCAAGAGGGCAAACTGCTCTGTTTGGTGCCTATCGGAAATCAGTTAACACTATTTTGTCAAAAGTAGAAGTCAGTAAACAGTAACTTGTTAGTGGCTGCACAGATGACACTGGAGAAAAAGCTACCTGAAATCCTATACCCTATGGGCAGGAATAAGTCAAACCACTAGAGCATGTGTAAGATGCATTTCTTTGGCTTGTCTGAAACTGCCTCCCCTCACACTCCTCTTCATTCTTGTGCCAGGCTGGAATCACAATATACAATTCGCCAGAGTTACGCGTTCTTGACATGAAAAGGACTTAAAGTCACAAACATGCTGCAAGCCACTACTCTTCTTGAAGAAGTGAAGGAAGATTCATCTGATCTCCATGCTGTTAAGTTTGCTCTGGTAAGAGTAATGTACATGTATTCTGATTAGGTCTAGGCCAGCACCAAAGCTTTTTAAGGGATTCTTCCCATGGCAAAATTCCCATGAAATTCAGCAGGCTTTTGACTGAAGCACTGAGCCAATCATGTCAACCAGCTTCCCTGGTTTATGGCCTAATCCAAGCCAAGATGACGGTGGAGAGATGAGGGCACATTCTTTTTCTGGACGTAGGGTACAGTGGGAAACTCAGATTGAGGGTTACAGTCAAATTTTGGGCATTCCAAAGAGAATTTCAGTACCTCTGTGAATACTGCTGTAAAAATTGTGTAAATAAAACTTCCTATTATTTTTAGAACAGCCTTTCCTGTCTTAGATTTGTTTTCCAGGGTTGCTCCAAGGAGCCCACAGATCTGCCTTCAGGCTTGGCCATGACAATAACTTTCTTCATCCCTGCATCTCTCACCCATTAATTCGGAAGGGGGGGAACAGGGAGGTGAGTGGTGCTTTCCCCTGAATTTAACTAGCTGCTGTCTCAGCCAGAATCTGGAGTTCTCTTGACCTGCTTGTTTTAATAATTTTCTTCCACGGGACTGGCTGGTATTTGGTGAATTTCAGTTGATTTTCCGGACCCAATGGTCACAAGTTGGCTCAGTCTACAGCAAGAAGAATCACTTTTTCTGGCACAACCCTACTTCAAAAGAAGCTGTTGCTCCGGATGAGCAAAGCCCAATCTGCTCATTATTCCCTGCCAGAGAGACCATCAGCACGACCAGACACATCCCTGAAAGGACACCAAGGCATTTCACTGCTTTGACAAGGAGCTGGAGGCAGTCACCAACGCTGAGACAGACTAACGCACCTGGTATTAAGCTTTAAAGGTGGGACTCCCTTTCATGTCATCTTCTCGCTCACCATGACACCAGGGAACTCCTGAAATGACCCATCTTATCAGTTAGCCCAGGGTATCATTCTGAGCTGTAAATTTAATGAAGATGTATTTGCAGCAGAAATAGGCCATGAAGTCCCAGCTTGCTCATTTTAATCAGCTTTTTTCTTCCAAGTGGATACTTCAACAAATTTACCTGGCATAGCAGCAAAACCAACAGCCTTCTCCACTGTAAAAATCTTACTGTGCACCAGAAGCTTTCTATCACACAAATTATAAAAAAACCACCCCATAAAAATCCCAAAGACTTTGACTTAGAGTAAATTTAATTTACCTTAACTCTCGTCTCCAGCAATTTTGCTGTTAACAAGATACAGAGCAAAAGTGTGCAATGTAGTGTGTGGAGGCAAACTCCAAAACGTTTAACCTAGCTAAAAATCCTTATTTTAATTAGTAAGGTGGAGAAAGCAACACAGTAACTCTATAGGCATACTACAGTTCCTTCTGGCTTTGATAAAAAAAAAGTCAGCCAACATGCCATGGTGGGGGTTCTTATTTACCAGCATTATAACCAAAATGTCAGCGCTATGCTGAACTCCAGTCATTTTGTTTATGATGCTGTGCAGCAGTAGAACATCCTTAAGGGGTTGTGATCCTTTTTCAGAAGTGTTAAAT